GAAAATCAAGGGGAAGGCGAGGGCGGCTGTCCGACTGATGCGTGGGGTTCGCGTGGTGGTGCCATGGGTCGCTGACACGTGGGCCACCCATTGCCTCCTCTCTCAAATGGATGAGAGCGCCGTTCTAGGTCTGGGCCCGCTTCATAGAGAGAGAGAGATGGATGGACGGGAAGTCGGGAACGGCGACCGAGCGACGACATCAGCGCGGCGGCGAGACAGGGGAACGGCTCAGTGCTCATCGGTGTAAGATATGTCTGTGACGACGGTGCTCGGAGGTCACCCCCAACTAGTTGTCGGTGTCCCAGAGGTCCACCCGCGATGGTAGGAGGAATCTTCGGTGACCGTGGGTGCTCGCGGCGGCGATGGCGGCTTGCTGTAGCAGCCGCGGTGGCGTGGTGATGGATTATGGGGTGTTTTGGCATGCAAGGGTGGATGGTGTGCGGTCATGGTGTGCGTGCGAGTGTTCAGAGGCGGTTGCTTTGCTTGGTTGTGCAGTGCTAACGACGGGTAGTGGTGGTGGTGGCGCGACGGCGGATGGCTTGCGGTGGTAGAGAAATGCAGGGGCTGAGATGGTGGAGGAGGTAGTAGAGGAGCCTAGGAGCAAATTGGCCACTTCTACTGGGCAATGACGCTCTGAAGAGGGAGAGCTCGGAGGTCGCGCCCATGGCGAGCACGGCGAACCGGACTGGACCTAGAGCTCGAAAGGAGGGAGGAGGAGGGAAGAGAAGAGGGAGATGGTGTGTTCTGTGCCAAGGCAAAGCTCGCTGTGGTGATGGTTGAAGTGAAAGGGCACGGGACAGGCCTATTTATAGGCGCCGAGGTCGGTTCGCACTGGCGAGATATTTTCTCGCCGCGCCTCGATTACGCAGGCAGCAGGCTCCATGTTACCTTCCGTGCACGTGTTCGAACCTAAGGCGGTGGCGCACAATGTGCTCTCGTCTGTCTCCTGGCTGGCAGTGGGCTAGAGAGGAGTGCGTCCATGGCGGTGGCTCCATGGGTCGATGGCTTTGGTGACCTAAGCACAGCGGTGGCGGTCCCCACGCACGGGCGCACGGGCGCGGTGCCTCGGTGGATGACGACGACGGAGGTAGGCTGTGCCGCACAGTGGGTCTACGACCATGGCAACTTGGCCACGGTGCTGTCGTTGATGTGCTGGAGAAGAAAGAGCTGACGGCCGGGGTCCATTCGCCAGCGAGAGGAGGGAGAGGGGAAGGGCTGTTGTGCAGCTCGGCTGTGTTGCGTGAGTGGGTGGGCCCGTTGCGGAAAGGGAGGAGAGGAGGGAGCGTTCGCGGGCTTGGGTTGGCGGTGCGGTGGCGGCCCAATGCTGAGAAGAAGAGGGGGAGGGAGTGGGCCGCGGTGCGGGCCAGAGAGGGAGAAGGGGTGATTTGAGCCCGTGAGCCGTTTCTCATTTATGTAGTGCCTTTTCTTTTTCCCAGAAAATGAACTAATTACATTTGGGTGTATTTGGGTTTGAATTCTAGAGAATTTGAAAGGTGGGGACCTTGGAAAATGAGGGGAGGGTCAAGGAAAGGTATTTGGTGGAGGATGCTTAGAGGGAATTATTTGATGGCAAATAAATTCTAGGGCAAGCAATCAAACAATCAAGTAATCAAGCATACACACAAGCATTCAAACAAGCAAAGTGCAGACGATGAATTTAAATGCAAAGCTATTTTCTAACCCTAGGAAGATATAGCGCTACAACTAAATCCTACGTGGCATAGGAATGCATATGGTGGAGTTTTGATGCAAGGGTTGTTAAAAAATATATTTTCAAATTGGTTGTGCAGAAATAGACAGTCAAGGTTTTAATTTGTTGTAAAGTTTTAAAAAGTTCAAATTTTTAGTATTTTTAACATGATGCAAACACATAGGGTGTTACACCACCCATGCTCGTGCCCCCACATGCTGCTGCGCCCCTCGCTTCGCTTCTATGCTGCGTGCTCGTGGATGTGCATGCAGGTGGGGACCAAATCTACATTTGCAACACTAAATCTACTTTTGCAACATCAAGATAAAACACATGCAACATTCAGATGAAACATATGAAACATACATCTGAAACTCATGAAACATACTGGCCTGCTAATGGAAACACTCCAACATGAAGCACTTGCTGCAACATACGTCTAAAAGAGGTAAAACATTTGAAACATACGATTACAACATATGTTTATAGCAACTGCAACATAAGCAATATTCAGATAAAACACCTGCAACATACGTTTTAACAGGATGAAATATTTGAAACATACAGTTACAACATACATGTATAGCCATTGCAACATGTAAAAAATACAGATAAAACACTTGCAACGTATGTTTGAAAAAATGAAACAATTGAAACATACGCTTGCAACATACGTGTATAGCCAATGCAACATATGCAACATCCAGATGAAACACGTTTAGCACCAGATGAAACATACATCTAAAACGCATGAAAACATACGGAGCTCGATGCCATGAAGTGACCGAAAAATTTAGACCAGCACTCAGCTGCCAACGGTGAACCATCACAGAAGTAGCAAACGTCACATGCAAATATGGGCCCGTGCTCCTCTCACAAACAGGCAAGCGGCCTGGTCGGCCCTTCAACTGGCTAATCCGGTTAGCCAAAGCAGCAACGCTGCAGGCAGCATGCGGCAGGGGCAGCTTGTCCTAGGCGTAGACAACAGAGAGAGAGAAAAGTGGAGGATGACAAGTAGTAGCAGGCCTAGGCGCTAGGCAGTATAGGGCAGGCGCGACAGGGAGGCCTGCGGCTAGGGGCCTGGCTGGCTGTTCCAGCCCGCAGCGAACGCAACAGGGAGCCTCTCTCCATGGTCACGCACATGCAAGGTTCACACGCGCCGCCTACACCCTGAACTCGAGTGGCCGCACACACTCCCATGCGCTGCCCCGCAGAAAGGATGGGTGCAGCCCCGCCTGCCTGTAACTGCATGCCCCCGCTTTTTTTCTTGGGCATCACGTGCGTAGGGTTGGTCTGTCCATTCGTCTGGACGCCCTCAACCAAGCATTACCGAATGTGATATGGTAATGCTCTTGTGTAGGCATCCGGGGACGGGCGGACACGACTTTCCCACTGGCTACCTTATCTGTCCGCTCGCTCCCATCCGCACCCCTTAAAAAAACTCTCGCACTTGGCCTCCACCATTGTGGACTTATCCACCACTACATAGGACCTCCATGCCTGACTCCACCGCGACGGCCGTCTTCCCCACTCCGCGCTCCACCACGCCGCTTGCAAGCACCACGGCATTCGCGTAGCCGCGGCCACCTCCACTGCCCGCTTTAGCTGCCGAGCAGGTGCTCGCCAAGGGTGCGTTGGCCCAGGGCGCCGAGCAGGTGCTCGGCCAGGGGTGTTCGCACAGATGCTCGCCTAGGGTGCTCGCACACCTCGCGCAGGTGCCCACCCAAGCCACCGAGCAGGTCCTCGGCCAAGCGCGCACGGGCGAGCTCTATGTGCCGCCGCCGACCTCGTTGCCGGCGTCGAGCTCCGCGATTCGTCCAAACAGCAAGGTGACGTTGCGCGCTAAAAACGTATGTTGCAATAGTATGTTTCGCATGTCTCAAGTGCTTCATCCGGATGTTGCAAGTGTTTCATGTGGATGTTGCAAAAGTAGATAGGGATATTGCATATGTTGCAATGATTGTACACGTATGTTGCAAGCTTTTGTTCTCAATGTTTCCGTTGTTTTTCTAGACATATGTTGCAAGTGTGTTTATTTGGATGCTGCATATGTTGTACACATATGTTGCAAGTGTTTTATCTGGATGTTGTCTGTGTTTTACATGGTTTTCAAGGGTTTTTCAGGTGTTTTTACAAGTGTTTCATCTGTCCTCAGACGTATGTTGCAAGTGTTGCATCTGGATGTTTCAAAATTAGATCGGGTGTTGCATCTCACTCTCTCCTCACCTTTGACTGCCTTGCTTTGGTGTCTCCACCTTCTTTCGGCGCCGATTAGACATCCGAACTAGAGGCGCAGGCGGGTGCCGCCCCATCCCCTTCTTCTCGATGTTGGTGGCACGACGGGGGACGGGCCGCTGCAAGTGGCGCAGGCGGGCGCTCCCTCCGTTCCGTGGTTCTGTTACGCGGGCGGGCGGGCGGGTGCTCCTTTCTAATAGGCTATTCCGTGATTTCGTAGCTGAGATCCGACGACTCCTATGGTAAGTATTGGACGGGTCGTAGCTGTGTCTAGATACGTCGTAGGGCCGGACGTCCAATTTCAACTATACGATGAAAAAGCTTTTCTAATGGCCCAAACGAATGTGCACTGCAGGACTGTGACACTGCTAGCAGAGATGCACTGAGCTGTGAGCAACGATACTGGCACCCCTCTTTCATATATATATATATATATATATATATAGACGTCATTTTTTTTACGAATCACAATACGAATGCAGACACACATATAATATACATGTATACTTAGCCCTTATAAACGTATATGCACACAACAATCTGAACCGTCGACAGTTAAAAAAAATTGACAGTCAAAAAGACAATCTGAACAATCAGATTCCACCGTAAGAAAACGCAACATCAGTTTCCGTAATCGCAAGTGTATATATTCTCAAAAAGTGTCCCAACTACCAAAATTTGCTTTAGAATATACTTGCAACTTCTAACACATTTGTAGAGCGATAGTACTGTCAAGGCTACCATCTGCAAACTGCTAGCGCAAACACTAGAATGTAGTACGTGTTGTGGATGACATTACAACAGGGGCGGCGACCACACTGTCTTAGAAAAATGTGCTTTATTTTTACATTCTAGCTAGATTGATGCTAGCTAGAAGCTACAGGGCAATCTGAAATGTGTGATGTAATCTTATTGCCAAATGTGATGAAATACATTAAATTTACAAACCCCCGTTATTCATGTGGATCAAAGCAGCAGCAAAAAAGTGAACAAATATAAAAAGTAACACAAACTACAGAGAAGTGCCACAGGTAGGGAAAGTAGTTTAAACACGCCACACGCATCACTTGCTTTCTCACTCCTGTTTCTTGGGTGCCCCGGCGCCGAGCGGCATGAACTCCGCCACCTTCTTCGCCGCCGGCCGGGCAGCGAGACCCTTCCACCAGGCGCTGACATGTGGGAGCGCCTCGACCAGCGTGGCATACTCGGTGGCCATGAAGTAGCGCATGACGGTGAAGTGGGTGAGGTCGGCGAGGGTCAACACATCGCCGGCGAGGTACCTGCTCTGCGCCAGGCGCGCCTCGTACACCTCCAGCACCTTCTCCACGTTCTCGTCAATGACAGCCTGGTTGCGTTCGCGGCCATGTAGGACGGGCGCGACGATGCACTCGACGGCGATGGCGCCTGCCAGTGGTTGCATCTGGTGGGCCTCCACCTCCACCCACATGTCCACCATTGCCGACTGCTCCAGGCTGCCGGACCCTAGCAGCTCCGGCTTGTACTTCCGAAGCACGTGCCTCGCGATCGCTCGGGATTCTGAATCAAGAAATATGTATATATATTAGAAATTTTTTTGGTGGTGGACATTCTTTTATTAAAATGCTTCTAGGGTGTTTTATGGATACACCTATTTCTCAACGAGTGAATTGCAGTTTACACCACACGTAGAAGTATCATGGTTTAAGAACACCGCATATAAAGTATTTTGTTCCACTTACCTCCATATATATATATATATAACATGTAAAATTGTTTTACTTTAGCCAACCTTTAGCTCTAGTCTCAACTCTCACATAAACCATGTTGTAATTAGATCATGGAATTTTAAAACCCCCATCTTTCTATAATGCCTCACTTATACTCATATAGCTCTGATTTGCTTATTCCTCTTTTACCCCCAGTCCGTAAATGTTGGTTAAGACCATTAGTTTCTTTGGCAATATCATCATGAAGCATTTGTAGATGAGGCAAAAAGAAATGAAATGTCGCCATGGTCATGTATATCTGGATATGTATGGGACTAGAGCTAAGGGTGTGATACAGTGAACCCAACTGGCATGTTTACATGGCCTTAAGGGGCACAAATTAAAAACGCTTTGAGGCTTTCTGTAATCATGGCATATTTGATATGCGGCAAACTGCAATACCCTCTTTTAACAATGAATTAAAACACCACAGATGCGGTCCATATATAAAAGAAAGTTACCTATATATTTTAGAAGCACTTTTCACGTTCAATTAAATAACTTGTATCTTAATTACATTGTCGATCTTTATATTTTTTTTGTATGTTGATGGTAAAAGTTTTAAGAGTTTGAGCTATCGACATGATTAGAAAAAGGACATATTTTGAATCAAAGATGCTGCTAGCAAGGTATATACCTTGTACAAATAACATGGAAAAGAGAGCACGTGAACGCATTCGAAATTGTGTATTTTGGTACTGCTAGCAAGGTTTCGGGTGACCATAAAAAAAAGTAGGTTAAGGTGCCAAATGAGACCAAAGTCTTATTTGTTCCCAAGAGCGACGTCCACGATTACACTTGGCCAAGTGGGGACTGGGTAAGTTTGACTAGCAAATTTGGAAAAGAGAGAAGAACCTGAACCTTTACGGTCCTGTTTGTTTCGCTGAAATTTGGATTACGCTGATACTTATGCTGAAATGCTGTGAGAGCAAAACATTATTCGTTTGGAGTAGTGCAGCAGAACAGGGAAATTTCATCGTATCAATTTAGTTTTGTAGAAAATACACAGGAACGAAAAAAAAAGAATCCTCTGTTCCAAACAGAGCATCGAAAATCCGGAAAAGTAAAAAAAAACGCACAGACATTATCTCTTCTTTTCTGAAAGTCACGCCCACTATCTTCCGTTCGTCTTTACGGGACGAAGTACTGATACTCATCTCTTTAGGCGTTAGAAGTTTTTACCAACGTTGACTCTGTTTTGATGTTGGTACTAAAAAGAACATTTATTTATGATTATAACTATCAGTTATAGCCTTTATATATCCTAGCAGCGGAAAAATTAAAACATGCATGCCTATATATAAAAATGAAACTCATTGATGGATGCGATTAGTAAGAGAGGACACGAAATGGAGTGAATCGTTGGCGGGCGTACCAAAGAGGGTGAGGTCTCCGTCCTCAAGCACCGGCACCTCCCCGAACGGCTGCAAGGGAAGGGAGACAGCGTGCAAGAGAGCTAGAAATCCAAAAAGGGAAATTGAAGGCCGTCGAGTCGTACCAATAGCAGTAGTACGTACGTTCCTGGCGAGGTGGTCGGGGTCAGCGGTGGGGCCCAAACACACAAACCCCCCCCCTACTGCTCGCGAGCAAGCGAAGCCCCGTGGAGCCGTCGTCTGAAATTTCAGCTGTAGATGTACGGGTAGGAGAGGCTGAGATTTGCTGAACCTCTTTTCTTGTTAATTGCTGTTGTTTAGCTCCTCCTAAAATTTTTCCTAACTTCGTCCCTGGTGGCGGTGGTCGCCGGTGTCGCGGCTCAAGGGACGAGCTCGTAGTCAACGCCGGCCTCCTCCAGGCACAGCAACACCCGCGACACGAACGGCGAGATCGTCCACCCGTACACCTTCACCGCCATGTCTTGTCTGCTGCTCGATCGATCTCCCTCAATCCTGCTGTGCTTGTGTGCTATCGTGGGAATTGTGGGAATTGGGGATATATCCGGCGTGTGAACTGTGGAGCGAACGGATGTGTGCTAGCCTGCCGCCTCCGCCGCTCGCTATTTGTACGCGAGGCCAGGCCAGCGGGTATCTAGAAATCAATCAGAGAAGACCAGCAGAGACGATACTGTATTCGGTCAACGTGAGTGGCCTGTGACGTCTTTGCTTGCGTATGTGCAGACCTTGTCAACTTTGATTCAAGCGTGGCGTCGTTGCTTTCGTACGGTGACAATTTTACATTTTAGTCCTTTCTAAAAACTACTTCTACAAATAGACTCCTCATAAAACTTTTTTCATAAATAGACCAAAAGCTCGGCGTCAAATAATAAAACGCCGAGATCTTCGCATGGGCGCTATGTCAGACTGCGCCGAAGTCTGCCACGTCAATGCCAACCTCGGCGTATGGTCAATCAACGCCGACATTCACACACCGGCGTTTAGTCCTCGATCTCACGCCGAGATCTGGGCACTTTGAAACGCGAGACCGGCGATTTGCAGACATCGGTTGGTTTGCTTCCTGGCGACTTTCTGTTTGCGCGGGCTGGGACTTCGGCGATCTGCGCTGTCTATTGCCTTCGTGCATGCATAATCTTTCCTTCCATAATGACTGATTTGACCCTTCAACCATACAAAACTTTGCACATTTTGCCTGACGAGATAACTTGCTGCGCCTGATGACCTGACACTGATGCATAATAGATTAATCAAAATACTTGTTAATGATCTGTTTATCTTGTTCACAAATTAACCTAGCCATTAGATATGTTTCAGGCTTTCATAGGCTAACAAACAAATCTATATCTAATATTAAAGAGGCAAAATTTCTCTCCACCCATTTTTTTCATTGGCCAATCTGTTGCGAGTTGCTGCCTCCGTGTCCTTTGCTGGATTGTTTTTGTTTTCATTTTTTTTCCGTTTCCACTTCCCTCACGTTTAGTATCTTGACCATTTTTTTCTTCTTTTTCTTTTGTCTCCTGTTATATTGTTATATAAACAGAAAACATAAATAATAATGATAGTATTATGTGTCTTTGATCTCTAATTTATCGTTTCCTAATAAATAGATATTTTTGTCACTAATCAATCTAGATCAGCAGATGGTACAACTATAACTAATCTAAAATAGTTTTGTCATCCAAGCTAATCTATATCTATATATTGATGCTTCTATACCTTAACAATATCAAAAAACGCCCAAAATTTTATCTTGTTTCTTCCTACACCCCTATCGGGATATGACTCATACGAGTTAAAATAGCTTCTAGCGATGATGAATACATGGTCTCATTCCAATACGTATTGGGTTACATCCTCCATATCTCATATTTGACCCGGACTTGTGACCCCCTCTACCAACTCGCATCTAGCGATGATGCAATGTTCGGTTCATATACATATTGGATTCCGTTGCAACGCACATGTACTTTTGCTAGTAAGCTATAAAAGCTGATGTTGGGGGGAGGTGCCCCTAGCAGGGCACCCCGCCTGATGTTTGGCCTTTTTCGGGCCCTCACAACCTCTTCGCTGCCGCACTAACCCCTTGCAGCGAAGGTTTCCCCGTGTTCTCTTCTTTCAGGCATTCGCACGGGAGATGGCCGAGGCGAGGGTGATGCTTGATGGGAGAACACGAAGCCGGTGGAGGCCCAGAGGACCCTCGATGGGCTCTGCGACGAGCGAAAGGTTTCTCCAACGGTTTTCCAAAAAGTATTAGCCTATCATTAATTTATATTTAGTTGATTTGTTAATTATTTAAAAAGTTACTTTTTAAGATATACATATACCTGAGATATACTTTCTCCCGGTGGCCAAAAAGTATTGGGAGCACCAAATAAAGGTTTCTCCAACGGTTTTCCAAAAATCACTCCTAAAAGGTTGAAGGTGATTTTACATGAACCCGAACTATTTCTAAATCACCCTAGCCAGTTTTATACTTTGTTTCTCTCTTGTACATTTATATCAAGAACCATGTCCTACTTCTTATTTTTTCCACGTCCTTCAACCTTACGTTGGCTCGATGGATGCGCGCGTATTTATCCGCACAACTGGGTCGATTTTTCCATGTGCCAAAAGATTGGGAGGTGTGATTAGAAGTTGTTGGAGATATATTTTTTAATGTTGCTAAAATTATGACATGGTAGATTGTTTTGGAAATTCTTAGAGATGCTCTGATGTCTCAGAACCGAATATACTTCCGCAGGGCGTGGTAGGACCAAACGCCTATACATGAGGGTCGGCGTCGCCGAGGTCTCGTGGGGACAGGCCACGTTGGCTCTGAGTTGGTAGGCTTCGGCGCAGTCTGACACAACGCGGATACGAAGAACTCGGCGTTTTATTATTTAACGCCAAGCTTTAGTCTATTTTTGCAAAAAAAAAAAAAAAATCTGAGGAGTCTATTTATAGAAATAGTTTTTAGAAACGACTAAAATACAAAAATTTCACCTTTCGTACGCGCATCATGATTTTTGGAGGAGGAGACGCTATTTTCCGTCCCACACCACAATTAGCACGTCATGATTAGGAAATGGATAACGCTTGAACTTATCCGCTCGGCTTATAAGTCGTGATACAATGTTTTTTTTCTCACAACAAATTAGCATCAACCGGCTTATCAGCCGCGGAAACTATCAGCCGAACGGCTCAACTTAAGGTGCTCAACTTATAGGCAGTGCTAGCGCCCGGACGTCCGGACGGACGGCCGCGCTGCACTCCCGTTCCACGCGCTCGGCCTAGCACGCCCCTACCCGAGCCTGCATTTCACGCGCCCACGCGGGGTTCACGCCGCCCAGGATGATGCCCGCGCCGCCAGACCGCACGCAGGGACCGCTCGCGTCCCCTCCGCTTTTTCACGCGCATTCCAACATGTACAACACCCGATCTACTTTTGCAACATCCAGACGAAACACTTGCAATATACGTCCGAAACAGCTGAAACACTTGCAACATACGTCTGAAACACTTGCAAAACACCAGAAAAAACTTGAAAACACGTGTGAAGTCATTGCAAACATCAAGATGAAACACTTGCAACATACGTATGAAAACACCTGAAACACTTGCATATATATGCAACATCCTGATCTAGTTTTTGCAACATACTTCTGAAACAGATGAAACATTTGGAACATACACTTGGAACATACGTGTATAGCCCATTGCAACATCTGCACCACATCCCAATCTACTTTTGTAACATCTTTATGAAACACTTGCAACATTCCTCAAAAACATCTGAAATATTTGAAATGCATACTTGCAACATGCATCGTATCTCGGTGCGGCCACCTTCGCCGTCTGCATCAGGCGCTGCAGCCGT